TTTAAATAATGCCTTCGTTTCAGACACGATCCAGAGGCATGCCTGGAAACCCAAGGTGATGATGATGCTTTGGGGTGGAATTAGCTTTGCAGAGGTGCCTGCAGCCTTGTGAATGCTTTTGAAGTAATGAAGTTTAAGAAATCAGTTTGGGGCATGGAGGTTGCCAGGTGCCAGGAGAGATTACATGGTAGCTCCAGATCATTGAGCCTCAAGTAGGAGCCTGTTGTGGCCTGCCAGCGGCCAGCGGAGCTGGCAGCAGATTTGGACAATGAGGAGGTTGGGGAGGAACACAGGCCAGTCCTGGAGTTTGGGGAAGGCTCTGATGAGGGCTCTGTGTCGGAGGCAGATAGGGGGCCAGGACCGTATGACAGTTATCAGCTGCCTTCAGAGTCAGACATCAGTGAGGCAGAAGAACAGCTGGAGCCTGATCCCAGTGTGCACATGCTCAGAGTTGCCAGATGAAGGCAACAGCTAAAGAACAGGGGTTGACTTGGGAGTAAGGTCACAGGTGGACGATGAATGGCCCCTCCCAGAGGACATATAAGAGAAGCAAAAGGGGAGTGGAGTTTGCAGGAGAAAATTAGTTCGCTTCATTGGTTCGTGACTCTCTGAGACTCTTTGCCAAATTTTGCAGATATCAGCCTGGTAGCTCTCCAAGCCAGATAAGGTCTATGACTGTAAATCCTCCCTTGAAAGACTTTGCTGGGTGTGAATGAGCAGAATTCACTTTAAATTAATAAAAGGGGTTTTTGTTGGGACCAGGAGTTTGCTTCATGCTCTTGGGAAGCCTCGGACAGAACATCCCCACACGGGGGTCTCTGAATAACTATAGCTTTTGTCCAAGTGTTAGCCAGCTTTGATTTTGAAATTAGAACAATTAATCAGACAGCTAGAACAATTAATCAGTGGAACGGTTTGCCTCCAGAAGTTGGGGGTGGCTCCATCACTGGAAGTTTTTAAGAAGAGATTGGACAACAGTTTCTCCAGAATGAGAAGACCTCCAAGGTCTCTTCCAACTCTGTTACTCTATGTTTTAGGTCAGAGAGAGGTCTTAAACTTTGTCTCAACTGAACAATCTGCCCAAATGGCTTAAGATGAGTTGCATCTTCATCATGAAAGATGGGTGAAGTCCAATGTCTGGAATAGGGCTGGGCACAGCAAAGTAAAGCATGTGACACTATTTTGAAGCTTAGCAGGGCATCCAGCAAATGAGCTGGGACAACAAGACTTATCTTCCTTCGGTTGTGTTGAGTAGGATTGATGCAAGCGGCAGTTACCACTCAACTACCGTGTTTCCCCGAAAATAAGACAGGGTCTTATTTTCTTTTGCCCCATGAAATATGGCCTTGAGTTTATTATAGGGGGAGGGCTTATTGTTTTGGGGTTGCCGGGCAGCTGCTCCCTTGCGAACTGGTTCCCAAAGAGCCGGGCACAGCCTCAGGGGCGAAGCAGCCATGAGGTGACCACGCGCACGAGCAGCCACACGGAAAACCTCCTTTCCAGCTGGGCAGAGCACCATTCACTGACCCAGGAGGTATCCCTAAGGCGCCAAGGCAGGTGGCGCTCTGCCCACCCTCCAGCTCCTGTGGCTTGGCACATTTGGGATACCCCCTAGGTCAGTACAGGGAGCTCTGCCTGGCTGGAGAGGGGGGTTTCGTGAGCGCCTGTTCCGCCCCCGCCACGCTCCGAGCATAACTTCTTTTCCAGCTTCCAAACTCCAAAACTCGACTGCCAAGTCTTCCAGCAGCAGCCACTCTAGGAGTGCGCTCTTTGGTTGTGGGCCGGTTTCCAGACAGAGAATCTTCCAGCAGCCAGCCCACAACCATAGAGGGGGAGGGCTTACGCGAAAAATGTGGCAAGGCATTAATTTCAGGACAGGTCGTAGTTTGGGGGAAACACGGTAGAAAGCATCATGTGGGGACTGTGGTTGACAACTCAGGTAGCTCCAATGACTCTTACACTTCCACAGAAGGAGGGATATGGCAATTCTTCTGTCTTCCACGCTAGACAGCATCATGCATGTTACAAAATCAGTTCTCCTCCATTGCTAAAGGCAGAGCTTAGATGGCTTCCCCAAAGCCATCCTTAGCAAAATGCAGGCATGAACCAAAGGCCACGAGAGATGGCTCTACCTTGGGTGCATGGGGAAGAGGTTGACTAGATAGGTGTCACCACCAGGGTCCTGATGATCAAGCTTGTTGGGTCCAAACTATTCTGCAATTCTTGTAGGGAAGGTGTGCCAGCTGCCAGCTGGATTTTAAGCATGGACCCAGCATGCTGACTTGTGACTTTTGTTATAATGTGGTTGTCACCAGTATCTCTCTCTCTCCCTCCCTCCCTTTCTCTTTCTCTCTCCCCCTCCCTCTCTTTCTCTTTTTCTCTCTCTTCCTCCCTCCCTCTTTTCTCTCCCTCCCTCTCTCTTTCTCTCTCCCTCCTCTTTTTTCTCTCCCTCTTCCCTATCTCTTTCTCTGCCACTCTCTCCCCCTGTCTTTCTCTCTCTCTCTCCCTCCCTCTCTCTTTCTCTGCCTCTCTCTCTCCCCCTCTCCCCCTCTCTTTCTCTCCCCCCTCTCTTTCTTTCACTTTCTCTCTCCCACTCTCTTTCTCCCACTCTCGCTTTTTCTCTCCCCTCCGTCTCTTTTTCTTTCTCTCTCTTACCCTCCCTCTCTCTTTCTGTCTTCCCTCCCTCTTTCTTTCTTTTTCTCTCCCACTCTTGCTTTCTCGCTCTCTCTCTGTCCCTCCCTCTCTCTCCCCCTCCATCTCTTTCTCTCTCTCTCTCTTTCTCTGTATCTCTCTCCCTCTCTTTCTCCCTCCCTCCCCCTTTTCTCTCTCTTCCCCGTCACTCTCTTTCCCACAGGTAAATCACACCTGGCTATTGTTCAGAAGGTGAACAATGAAGGGGAAGGAGACCCCTTCTATGAAGTTCTGGGATTGGTAACATTGGAAGATGTCATTGAGGAGATCATCAAATCGGAGATCCTGGATGAATCGGACATGTACAGTTAAGTTCGTTTTAAATCTTCCCTTTTTTGATGGGAGGAATGTCTATCTTGTTAAATACATCCCTTGCAGTGGTAACCTTGCTTACCTATGAAAATGTACGAATATTTTATTATATATGATGTTTTCTTGTTGCGACTTGTTGGCTCCCTCCAGCAGCCGAATCAGAGGAGGAGGAGGAGGCAGCGTGGGAGTCAGGGTCAGCATCAAGGCAACCTGGGAGTTCCAAGGGGAAAGAGGGAATGGAGCTGGCAGACAGACGGAGGCAGAGCCTGGGCCGTCCGTCAGCCCTCAGATGGAGAGTCAGTGGCTCTGGAGGAGGCTGATGAGGAAGAGAAGGAACAGCTGGGTTCAGTGCCTGATGCACGGATACACAAAAGGCAGAGGAGAGGAGAGCAGTGGAAATCTATGGGCTGGTCCTTGGGATGGAAGATCACCGCTGTGCCGAAAGCAGAGGAGAGGAGAGCAGTGGAAATCTATGGGCCGGTCCTTGGGAAGGAAGAGCCACCACTGCTAATGAAACCCCACCCAAGCTCTGGGGATAAAAGGCAAGGGGCGGAGATGAATAGATGTGGCAACTATTCATCTCCCTGCGGGACAGACTCATTAGCCTGCAGTGAGAGAGAAACTTTTTCCCGAGGCTGCCAGCGCTCCTAATAAAAGAATCATTGATTTCACTTCAGAGGGTTTGTCGTGTTTGAAGAGCTGGGTCAGAACAGTTGTATGAGATTTCTGGCCAATGGCCATAGTATCATTTTGTTCTATATCAAGTACTAGAAGGAGACCACAGTGACCTCATGGGCCAACCGGATGCCCATCAGTCGACCTGTCTACCTACCTGATTTGTTTTGAAAATACTACCTTAATTTAAAAGTTGTAATTTTGTTCGGCTGACAAGAAGAAACCCCAGCTTCTCTGGGACCTTCCTTATTTGTCTGTAGGCATCTACAGAAGGATGGTGGGGAAACTTCTGGCCAGTAGGCATGTTGAATTTTGCCACGGTCATCATGATGGCCCTTCTTGGGAAGAGTAAAGGCTTCCGTGGAGCCGAGGTGGCGCAGTGGTGAGAGTGCAGTACTGCAGGCTACTTCAGCTGACTGCTAACTGCAGTTCGGCAGTTTAAATCTCATCAGGCTCAAGGTTGACTCAGCCATCCTTCTGAAGTGGGTCAAGTGAGGACCC